ATCCAGAAATTCCAAAGTTCTTATTATCTGTCCCAAGAAAATAATCAACACACACACCACAATCTAAATACAGAACATTTGATATACTTTTATTTGTAAGTAATTTTCTTTTTTTAATGTTTCTTTTTAGTTTTTTTTAATGTTTATTTTTGAGAGAGAGAGAGAACGAACAAGTGGGAGAGGGGTAGACAGAAAGGGAGACACAGAATCAGAAGTTGGCTCCAGGCTCTGAGCTGTCAGCACAGAGCTCGATGCAGTGCTTGAACCCATGATTGGAAGATTATGACCTGAGCTGAAGTCAGATGCTTAACCAACTGAGCCACCCAGGTGCCCCTATAAGTAACTTTTTAAACAAAAAAAGTATAAGCAACCTAAATGAATAGAGAAAATGTTAAATAATGGATTACACACCCATTAAAATTAAGTTTCTGAGGTTATAAAATACAAATAGTCACTATATAATGGTAAGTGAAAAGCAGGATATAAAAATTATACAATAGAATCCCAATTATGTAAAATTAGAGGAAGCACACATACATTTTTTTCTCAAAGAAACTAAAAGCTTTAGGGGAGTGAAATGTTCTATATCTTGGAATGGTGGCTATACCTTTGTCAAATTTTTCAAAACTTACTGTAAATGGTTTCCATTTTAAAATAAATGTACATGTAAAAAACTGTAGCTCCATAACGTTTACATAAAAAAAGGAGAGACTAAAAGATACACTTAAAATATCTGAGGATAATTTTTCAGTATTTTCCAAATTGTCTATAACAAACATATAAAAATGGGGACACATAGACATTGAGGTTATTTCAAAATCCATCTTTTTGCATGGAGACCAATGCAGGGCTTGAACTCATGACTCTGAGATCAATATCTGAGTTAGATTAAGAGTCGGATGCTTAACCAACTGAGCCACCCAGAAATCCAACCTCTTAAATTACAGTGAATTTGGTGGATGTCATACGTATTAGATCAACAGTGTCCAGAGTACCTATAGCCAACTGCTATACAGGTACCTTAAATACTCCAGACATGCCTGCTATGCAACTCTGTATTCCACACAAATGGTGTTCCCTAGAATTCTGCAACATGTAGACCTATATACTTATCTTAGTTAATCCATATGATACTTCTGTGAAGAAGGTATGATCCAATTTTAGACATAAGAAAACTGATATTGAGGATGAGGTTAATAAACTTGCCCAAGATCACAAAGCTAATAGGTGATAGAGCTGGGATTCAAATCCAGGTCTGATGCCAAGGCCAATGTTCTGCCCTATATTGCTACACTTCACTACTTTCCACAAAGGCTAACTCTCCAAGCCCCTTGTTATCTACAAATTTGATCAGCACACTTATTCCTTACTCTCTGGCCCTGAACTACACCTTCCCAGCTATCGTATACTATATACTTACTTTACTTCACAAAAACAAGAGCCCCCTTGGGCACAGTTATTCAGTTAGTAAAAAAATCTATAACATTATCATCCAGCCACATTTTTCTACATTTAAAGTCTATCTCTCTCCACTCAATTATAGGGCTCATCTTTTATTAACGTTAATTAAAGTTAAGTCCGGAAAATCACTATTGGATTCCATAGGTACCCTTTTAAAATTAAGTATTAACATTGTTGATTACGCATTTGAACAATTTTCTGGGGATAAAAATTTGGTAATCCTATTAAAAGATTACCTTTTGAACCAGCAATTCCACTTCTAGCAATTTATTCTTTAAAATACACATTTATAGAACTGCGCAAAAATACACCAAGATGTTTATTATAACATCATTTATAATAACAGAAAGTAGTGCAAACAATATCGATGTCTAGGAACAGGAGAGTGGTCAAAAAATGATGGTACTTTGATACAATGGACTACTAAGGAATTTTTTTAAAAATGAGGAAGATTTATACGTACTAACATGAAAAGGATAACAAATTGTTAATAGTAATACTCTGGTGAAGGGTGTATTACACTTCAGTATTGTTGTTGTTTTTTTTTTTTTTTTTTTTTTTTTTTTTTACAAGAACATATGTCACTTTTATAAGCAGAATAAGCAAAGCAATCAAGAATAAAATACACTGATATGTGTAATGGCCCTCGGAACCCCTTAGGGGTTGCAGCCCTATTGCCCTCTGATCTCTCCACATATACTAATATGTGCATTCAAATTCTCCAGCCTCCTCTGAGCAAGGAACTTAGCTAGGTGCTGGATAATAAAGTCAGGGTCCCTACCGTCATGCAATACCCTGAATAATAAAGCCAAGAGTCCCTACCCTCATGTAATATCCTTTTGATGAAGCCAGGGTAGAAACAAGAAGCACTTGCTTTTCCAGTAACTGGTTCAAGAATCTAAGATCCAAATCCTATGCCATGTCTCAGCATGAAGGAGGTGATGAAAAAAGACCTGAAGCATTTTACAAGTTACTTTCACTAACTTCTGTACAGTACGACCATCAAACAGAATCTACCACAGTTTATGACCTAACAGAAGCAACCAAATCCTTGATCATCATTCTCAAACAAGTGACAGAAGAGACACAGAATACCAAAAACAGAAAGAGCCACAGTTTGGCCTAAAATCCCACATGTTCAAAAAAGAGAAGACCAAGAAGACCAAAGAAATTACCAAAAACATTCAACAGAATAATTTTCAGAGCTTTGCTACAGCTTCTTTCATTTCCTCACAATGCCTCCCCTTTTTATTTCCAGCCCCTGCTCCCTAGAAAAACTTGTGGTGCATACGTATATTTTTAAAAACCAGTTCTGTTCATTGAGAAAATGCTGAAGTAAACAGAAATGAAATACTTAAAGTATTCATTATCTTGGAAAAAGAAGAGTGGACTTCTATGTCTTAAGCATCCCTGAGTAATCAATTGCTAATCCTCAGGATATAAAATAAATAGTACAAGACTCATAACTTTTACTGTTTTTTCATTTCATTCCTCAACTATTGGTTATCTTACTGTGCACTAACGAGAGCACAAATGTTAGTATGCTTTTCTGCCACCTACCAGCTGAAATTCCCAAAAGCTGCTCTTCAAAGCATCTTCCCACCTCCTCTGTAAATAACAATTCCTAAAGGCAGTTTATGTCCTCTGTAGTGGAAGTTTCTCCATGGTCAATAACCTAAAGTGTTTTTACTGTAGTGCACACCTAGGTTGTGGTCTTGGTTTATGGCTATGCAGCTCTGGTAAGTTTCAGTTTTGGTTTCTTTGTGTACAAAAGATTAGGCTCTAAAATTCTGTCACTCTTAGCTCTGATACTCAATTAGGCATAGTCTACACACACACCAAGTGGTAAGCATAGTGTGTAAAGAGTAAACAGACCCAGGGGCGCCTGGGTGGCTCAGTCGGTTAAGCGGCCGACTTCGGCTCAGGTCATGATCTCACAGTCTGTGAGTTCGAGACCCGCATCGGGCTCTGTGCTGATGGCTCAGAGCCTGGAGCCTGCTTCGGATTCTGTGTCTCCCTCTCTCTCGGACCCTCCCCTGCTCATGCTCTGTCTCTCTCTGTCTCAAAAATAAATAAATGTTAAAAAAAAAAAAAAAAAAAAAAAAGTAAACAGACCTGGATTCAAATTCCCTCTGACACCCATGAGGTGTCTGGCATTGGACAAATTATTTACGCTTAGAAACCTTTCCTTATTTGCTACCTATTATGACCAACAAAAAGAATATAAATATGAAAGTGTGTATAGCACGTATACCAGTGATTACTGATTAGTTTCCACTTACCAGCAAGTTTTCACTCTCGACAGTTCCTCTATTTTAATACTTTTTTGACTGTTTCTAAACAATCTTCACTGACAAGAATTTAGTTTTTAACAAATTAGGAGGTGATTTCATTCAAACACATTCATTAAGTACTTTACAAGTATATGCAGGATGACAATTTAGAACCGGCAGAAAATGTATCCAGTGGCATACACGCCATAGCCTTAAATATATATATATATATCTTGTAGAATACAAAACTGAAACAGAACTTCATCAAAAGTGAAGAACATGATCTTTCCACAACATTCTTGATCAAATAGAACATTGGCTACAAAAGAGCCCCTATCATTTTGCTAGGGGATACTGAAATTTTGAATCAAATGCTTCACTCCTATACCATCTTTGCAGGTCTGAGATCCAAATACTACTAATAAAATAAACAGAAGACAATATAATTACGAGGAGAGTTCACTCCAAAGAATGTGAGATGTGCCTTTTTTCCCGACTGAAAACTCCAAGACACCTTCAGTTGAGGAAAGAAAGCAGAACACTCAAATTTACAATATGCTGAAGAGTCACAAAGCAAAATCTTTACGTAAATCATGAAAAACAGCCCAAACATGTAGACCCTTCCATAAAAAGTGGTCACAGGCTAACTGCAGCATTCACACACTGCTTCAGATTTAAGAATCGCATGCCTCTGATCAGTCAACTCTGGCATTTGCTGGGAACGAGTGGTAATCTTCTAACTGAAAACTACAACCATCACACATCTAAAGATTGTGAGGGAAGAAGCATTACTCATTTCTGGTACCAGAAAAGCAGTGAACTTATTTTAGCTAGCTTAAATTTAAAATCCTCTTTTAGTCTTAACACACAAGAACTTAAACTTTAAAAAAAAAAAGATATGGTTATCTAAGCATGTAGATATATAAATTGGTCTCTTCTGCATATGAAAATAAACTTTAGTTATATTCTATCTTCCCCCACCTAGGAGCTAGTGCCTCAAAGGTCCTCCTGAATATACTGTTCCAGCTTTCACTGTGTCACTTAGGTGAAAAGATTCTTTCCTTAAATATGGAAAGAAAAACTGTGCAGTAATGACTCAAAGAGGCTATATCAGTTGTAAAGCCAAATCACTGCCCTGCAAAGTTGATTATGAAAGGTTCTCTTAGCTGAGTTTTTTAAAGCTAACACCATGAAGGCACAATCCGGAGCTGCGACGTTTCCCGTGTCACCACTGGCTGGAAAAGCTGGAAAAGGTGATCGACATACCTGGAGGAAGCTGCAAATTAGCAGGCAACTGGATTGTTGTGGTGTTGGGGGCTTTCACAGCGACTATCTGAGGAGCAGGCAGCGGAGGACCGCTGCTGAGTTTAGGAAGAGCGCTGACAGAAGCCACTTTGGTCACCAGGGTCCCCACGGGGGGCCGCAGGGGCTGGGACACCGTGGACTCCACACAGACACTGACAGGAGCCTTAGTCACGGCGCCCAAGGCCACCGGAGTGCTCTCCACCCGCACAGGGAGAGTCCCAGCGGGGGCCATGGTCACGGTCCCGGAGGCGCTCACACCGGCGGGAGGAGCGGCGCCGGCCGGTTCCGTGAGACCCGCGGGCATCCCCCAGGTGGATCAGCGACAGCTGCGACGCTGCCGTTCCGGGAGCAGAGGCGAAGGAAGGCTTGACAAGCTGCAGCCGACTCCAGAGCAGTTCCGGCTCCACAGCATCGCTAGGGAGAGGCGCAGGGGCCGCGACACAGAAGTCAGTGACAGACGCCGGCTGGACCCAGACCCGCGCGTCCCAGACCTCCCTCCGATTAGTGCGGCCCCGGCTGCAGCAACATCTGCCCGGCCGCTCGCCGCTTCCTCCGGGGAGCTCACACGTGCGCCGGCTCAGCCCGGCGCCTCAGCCTCGGGTCCCGCTACAGCGGAGCCCGGCTGCGCGGTTCCCGGAAGGGCGTCACTTCGGCTCCCACCACCCAGAAAAACTCTGCGCCCCAGTTCCCCCGCCAGAAATTTAAAAACTACAAACCCGGAGCGCCCCAAAGCCCCCTACACACACTCGGCGTGGCCCCAGCGCGCGGCCACGCCAGCCATGTTTATATAGCCACGCGGAGACCTCGCGCACGCGCACAGGCCGCCGCCGCCGCCCCGGGCTTCCCCCGGAATCCGGCTCTGTGATTGGCCACATACTGGAATCGCGCTCGTGACGTCACTAGGGACGCCTCCAGAGGGCGTTAGAATCTTCCCCCAGAATCCGGAGGAAGGTGGGTCAAGTTGCCAAAAATCTACCTTGTGGGAGGGGCGGGCCGCACTTGGAGAACTGCGACATTCGCGTTCCTCTTCTTGGTATTCCCAGTTGTATGTTCCTTTAAAAGCCAGGAGTGTAATTTCTACACGCTTCTACTTTTTTAAGGAAAAATGTGGCGGACTGGTTTCGGAGAGCGGTTTAACTCAGTAAGACTTAATCACGCTTCCTCTGTTTTTCTGCGGGCTTTGCCCTACAGCGTCGCCAAACGAGAGTTACAGTTGACATTGTGAAAAATTGTCCTTTTCTTTATTTTAAATATGTAAGAATGGCGTCTAATTTTATAGTCTGTAAAATATGTCTATTTTCATATGACTTTAGAGCTGAACTGCCCCAAGGGAAAATCTTTTTCTTCCTTTGTGCGGCTATTGATGTCTGTCACCTCTAAACGTATTTAAATTGTTATACACACGTAAACATTTTCTCCTTGAAAACTGGGACAATGTCTTATGATTACCACATCCTCAGATTCGAGCAATTAGATCTTAACTGCAATCTTAGATATTATTTGAAAAAGTGTAGAGTGTTAAATGAATCAATAAAGCCCAATATACAGAGAAACTTGCTTTTTAGAGATCTAGTCAGAGAAGATGCCTTGATTTCAGGCTTTTGTCATAATACTACGTTTGTAGGACCCAACACTATACGGAAGGAGATTTTGCAAGTAGGCAGGCAACCTGACCTTTACAGCTTCTGGTTTTCTCTCTCCCTGTGTACTCCAGTGGACAGGATCTACTCACAGCCCTCACGCTTCACTACATTTGCTGTTTCTGCCATCTCAACCAGTCCAAATCAAGAGCCCATCTTATGGCTCAAATCATTTACAAACTTCCCCATTCCATGAAGACTTACTTGATCACATAGCTTCCAGAAAATTTATAGTGGAATTGGGGAGAGGAAAACTAAATTTATCGAGGGCCTCTTGTGTGCTGGTCACTAATAGATACATTTTCTTGTTTCTTTCTCTTTTTTTTTTTCTTTTTTGAAACAACCACTTCAATGTCCTAACTTAAAACCTGCAGTTAAAAGACTAATTTTCCAAGAATCTGGGATTCAAAACAGTCTGTATGAAAGCAAAGTACATCTCTTTCTATATCTCCACAAATATCTGATTCATCATATATATGCACTCTGCCCTTGCAAAATGCCTTGCACATAAAAGGTGTTTAGTAAATATTAAATAGATCCATGCAACATTTTCAGTGAAGCAAAACGGTCTCATGGATTCGAATCTTAGATCTGCTTTTTTACTAGCTGGGCAAATTGTTTAGCCTTGTTTTTTCTCCTTACAGTATAATTCAGTAAATACTCGCAGAAGACTCAGAGTTTGCTCTAATGACTCTCCCTTTCCAAACTTTCATTAGACCCCACCCCCAACTCACATACTTTGTTTAGATATGTAAATAACCTCAATCAAGTTACAAAGAAGCTTGGCTGAGGAAGTACACTTTCTCTTTAAGTGACCTTGAACATTTTGTTATACTTGTTTATATTTGCTTCATTATTTGTGTCATTGATGGGAACTCTAATATTCTAGTTACAAAGAATATACTTCTTACCCAGCACAGGTAACTACCGTCCTGACTCTGGAGTTTAGTAATAATTATGTTTACTACATTTCCTTTCTATAGAAACTTCTATTAATGCAGCATACATAGGAAGCAAAATGCATTTTATCTATTTATGTAAGAAAAGAAAAAAATGCAGGGGAGGATTATACCTTGATTTTATTTTGTCTATCTGTTAAAATATTTGTAAAATTAAGGCTGTTGAAAATACTTATTCATTTACCTTCTGTCTTAGTCCATTCGGGCTGCTGTAACAAAATATCACAGACTGGTGGCTTTTTTTTTTAATTGAATTAAAGTTGATACATAATATTATATTAGTTTCAGGTATATGACATAGCGATTTAGTATCTTTATACATTATGAAATGATCACCTAGATAGGTCTAGTTATTGTCACTATACAAAGTTATTGTAACATTATTGACTGTTCCCTATACTGTATATTACATCCCTATGACTTATGATTTATTTATTTTGTAACTGGATGTTTGTACCTTTTTATTTATTTATTTTGAGAGAGAGAGAGAGAGAGAGAGAGAGCATGGCAGAGAGACAGAGAGAGAAAGAAAGAATCCCAAGCAGGCTCCATGCTGTCAGTGCAGAGCCGGACAAAGGGCTCAAACTCACAAACTGTGAGATCACGACCTGAGCTGAAAGAGTTCAACACTTAACAGACTGAACTAATGAGGCACCCCTGGATATTTGTACCTCTTAATCTCCTTCACATAGGGGGATTAGGTGATGGGTGGCTTACAAACGGCAGAAACTTATTGCTCATTGTTTTGGAAGCTGGAAATCTCAGATCAGGGTGCCAGGATGGTCGGGTGAGGGCTCTCTTCCAGATCACAGACTTCTCCCTACATCCTCACATCCAGGAAGGAACAAAGACTCTCTCTGGAGCCTCTTACATAAGGTACAAATCCCATCATGAGGGTCCCACCTTCATGATTTAAGCAACTCCCAAAGGCCCCACCTAGTTAATACCATCACATTTGGGAATTGGGCTTTCAACATATGAATTTTGGGGAGACACAAACATTCAGACCACCTTGTAAATGAGGGACTAAGTCAATTGTCCAGATACTCTGATCATCAATTCAGGTAATGAAACAAAACTGTGAACAAATACAGAATTTAAATTTCCATTATTTCACTATTTTACACACATATACACACACACTTAAATTTGGGCAAAACCAAAGGCTAAGGGTATGATTATTGGGTGGACAATGAAAATTACTCTTATTATCCTTCTGATTTTCCATATGCCTACAGTCTCTTCCAAAAATGCAACTCTTGGGGCACCTGGGCAGTTCAGTCGGTTAGATGGTTAGGCGTCTGACTTTTGATTTTGGCCCAGGTCATGACCTTACGGTTTGTGAGTTCAAGCCCCACATTGGCTCTGTGCTGACAGTGTGGAGCCTGCTTGGGATCCTCTCTCTCTCCCTCTTTCTCTACTCCTTTCCTGCTCTGTCTCTCTCTCTCTCAAAAAATAAATAAACTTCTAAAAAGCTAAAAAAAAAAAAAAAAGGAAAATGCAACTCTTAATCTTGGGGTTGTGAGTTTGAGCCCCATGTTGGGTACAGAGATTACTTAAAATTAAATCTTAAAAAAAAAAAAAGCTTACTACTCTGTAGATTTTAAACAGGAAGCCTTTATCTGTGAAATGAAATCAGCTGAAAAATCTGCCTGAGAAAACCTAACTATTTGGCTAAGATGGTGATGGCCTCAGCTTCAAACTGAGTCAGAAACAAATGGCCTCAAGTTCTGAACCTTGAATCAGGTCCAGTACAATGCTACATAAAAAAAACATTTATCGGAGTCTTAGAACGTGGCACTTCAGTCGGTTGCTGGCCGACTTCACCAGGGTCCGATCTCCGGTCGTGAGTTCAAGCCCCGTCAAGCTCTGGGCTGATGGCTCGAGCCTGGAGCCTGTTTCGAGCTCTGTGTCTCCCTCCTCTCCTGCCCTCGTCATGCTCATTTCTCTGTCCCAAAACTGAACGTGAAAAAAAAATTTAAAAAAAAATTTAAATACTTTTCTGCAGTAGAACACATTCCTATAACACCATTCTGTCATTTCTTTCGTCTTAAAGGAATGCACCTTAAACGCTTAAGTTTGTCTTCATTAATGACTTCCATTTTTAATGCCTTCACTAAAGGTTTAATGAAGTTTCAGACACTTTTAATGCTCCTACAAAAAATGGATATGATTGAAAGATTCTATCGTAAGAGATGTATCACACTATGGAATACGAATCAGTCATTCAGTTTATACTTGTACATTTATGGAAAAAGGATCATGGTATATTGTTAAATGAAAAAAGGAGGTTATACAATAGTATATAAAGTAGGATTCTATTTTTTGTAAGTTAAAAAAAAATTTGGGGAGTGGGCACCTGGGTGGTTCAGACGGTTAAGCGTCCAACTCTTGATTTCAGTTCAGGTCATGATCTGACAGTGTATGGGATGGAGCCCCATGTTGGGCTCTCCCTCTCTCTCTGCCCTTCCCCCACTCATTTGCACACTGTCTTTCTCTTTCTCTCTCTCTCTGTCTGTCTCTGTCTCTGTCTCTCTCAAAATAAATACATAAACTTAAAAAAATTTTAAACTAATAAGCGGGTAGATATATGCTCAGAGGAAAATCTAGATTATACAACCAAACTGTTAACAGAGGACATCTATTTGGAGACATTCTAAGTGATCATTTTCTCTTTATATTTGTTTATTTTCTAATTTATTTGC